TTTCATAAATTTTCATTTTTGGGTGAACCATTCCTTTATTGGCCCGACTTTATCATATTCATTGAGAAAGACTCATTGTAATTATATATAATTACAGATTGTTCTAAAGTGAATCAAACTATGAATGCCATCTAAACTAAAGTCCTGTATGTTTAAGTGCTGTATTTGTATGGCAAGATATTGACTAAAGGAAGTCTCCATTACCTGCCACAGTAGGAAATCACTAAGACGCACTTCTCCAGACGTACGGATGAGCAGATCAGGGTTTGGAGAATTACTGCTATAGAGACACTCACTGAGGAGCACCTCAGACACATCACTGACACATCACACAGAGAAGAACAATTCATAATAAAACAGCTGTAGTTAGGAGCAAATCCTTTGTTTTCTCTCACACTATGTGAAAAGCACATAGTTTACCTGGATTTTATCAGGCCCTGCTCTACTCCCCATGCCATTTCCTTCACTGCATTTGCAATTTCATATCTTGAGGTATATGCAAAGCACACATTCAGAAAGCACCTACATAATCAAACACATAAGACATAAGAGAAGGATGAACTTCAGCAAATGCATCAGATATAGATCATGCTCTAAAACAGAAGGAATGTTTTTTTTTTTTTAAATCATAAACTGCACTTCAAACATTTGGGGTCAGTCTTTTTTTTTTTTTTTTTTAAGACATTAATAGTTTTATTCTGTATGGATGCATTAAATTGACCAACAGTGAAGACATTTATAATGTTACAAAAGTTTTCTATTTCAAGTAAATGCTGTTCTTTTGAACTTTCTATTCATCAAAGAATCACCGTACAACTGTTTTCACAACTGATAATAATCAGAAATGTTTCTTGAGCAGCAAATCAGCATATTAGAATGATTTCTGAAGATCATGTGACACTGAAGACTGGAGTAATGATGCTGAAAATACAGCTGCGCATCACAGAAATAAATTACATTTTACAATATATCAAAATCTAAAATATATATTTTAAATTGTAATAATATATCCCATTTTTTACAGTTTTTAC